CCCCCCCCATTGATTTATTTTTTCAAATACTGAACTCCTGAAACATTTACCTCAGCAAAGGCCAACAATAAGACAATGTAGCTTAAAAACAGATAAACTCAAGGCTTAAATGTGTTACACTTCTGGGGAAGTAAAGACATTAATTGCAGCTTTTAAGCAGTTGTGTGTGCATATACATTCTGTGCAAGTATGTGTAACAGAATAAACTGGAGGAAATGAGGGAGGAAGATGGAGAGATTTTATCTTTGATGAATGAAACTAAATGTACAATGTAGTATATGGAACAGGAGCACTCTTCTCTGTCTTTAAGTGAATAATGGTCTTGTTTCGCAAATACAAAGTACATGACAGTATTGATAATACCAACTAATTTTTTTTTTCATTCAACCTTTATTTATACAGGCTAGTCTCATTGAACCACGGGGATTAATTTACAAAAGAGACCTGTTATTCAATTTTCTTGACAAAATCTCTTTATTTTCTTTTGAAACAATTAATCCTGACAAGTTACTTCTTTATAATAATGCAACTGTATTTGAGTTTTCAGTTTTGTGGAAGCTGATTGGTCGTAGCACACAAAAAGGCGGGTCTACGTAATTTTCCCGGTCCGCTATTGGCTATTTTGAATTTGGGGCCGTTCTGCTTTCCCTATTGGTTGGAATTGTCACGAGACTCTTATTTGATTTGTCAATAAAGCGAGCGGGAAACGTTGGTTCAGGCTTTAAAACGTTCGAACGAGCGTCGTGGGTTGTGTGTTTCCCTCGTCGACATTAAGTTGTTGTTAACTTGTTTTTATAATTTACATTTTACGATATATTTTTTTAAATAAGAAGAATGGCTGAACCGCTGAAGGTAACTGCAGCCGTCGACAAATAAATGTTAGCTTAGCTAGCAACTTTTAACGGTTAGCTAGCGTCCTTCCACGGCTAAACATAACTGCGTCATTTTAAGAAGTGGAAATTAACTTTGTAGTTCAACAATGTTTGACATTTAATTATTTTGTCACACCCTTCTACACATAGAAAATGTATATCTTCCAGTTTGTGCAAAATAACATCATGATGGTAACGCTGCATGGTGTTGTGCAAAAACAAAAACGCTATTACGCATGTGCTTTTCTCTCAAGTATATTAACCTTAGAAGATTAATAGTACATGACTTAAACCAGTGATCCGTACTGGTGGAAATCTTGTCTCGCAAGGCGGTGAGTTCAAGGTGACCCAGGATCTGTAAAGATGAAGGTAGAGTTAGAAAATGAAGGCGAAATGCATGTAGGTTTAAAAAGAGAGTACAAAATACCAACCAATGCAGATACTAAACTTACATCCACTGTCTTCTTTGTCCACTTGAAAAGTATCACTTTAAGTTACTGTATTACACCGTTTTATTATTATTTATTAGTAGAACTTTTGCATAAGTTTTGTTGACACAAAGATGTTTTTGGTTTATTTTTTCTTAAACTCAGTTTTCAGTTGTTGCTGCAGTTGACCAGTGGCATTAGTTGTTGTTTACCTGCAATCTGAACTCATTCATTTATTTCCTGATGCATGCTCAATAATCCAGGTAGAAAAATCTAAAAAAGTTCAATCTGGTCCTCTGGACATTCAAAAAAACAAAACAAAGCAAATCAACAAAAAAATGTAGAAACGTTTCATCTCTCATCCGAGAGACTTCCTCAGTCTGAGGTGCTGTATTCAGCTCAGTCTCTTAAATAGCACCTTCTCAGGGTGGATCAACCAGTTTTGCTGCTGACAACCAAAACCAGCTGCTCACATGCTCAAGAAGGACCATCAGCCTAACAGTGGATCATTAGCACACTGATGGCTG